GTTGGGGATTTTTTTTGTTATTGTTGGCTCCTTGGTATTTCTGGGTTGCCAGTTTCTTCAGCTCCAAGTCTGGGGTATAGGAGGCCAAAAGCAAACCAGGAAACTCATCCCTAGGTCATTCCTTGGATCCCCAAGTCCCTAGCCAGCCTGGCTTCTCTCTGCCTTTCAGAAGGTTTTTGTTTTTTTTTTGAGTCAGAGTCTCACTGCCACATAGGGTGGAGTGCAGTGGCACAATTACTGCTCGACCTCCTGGGTTCAGGCGATTCTTCTGTCTCAGCCTCCCAAGTAGCTAAGACTACAGATGTGCACCACCACGCCTGGCTAATTGTTTTGATTTTTTGTGGAGACGAGATCTCACTATGTTGCCCAAGCTGGTCTTGAACTCCTGAGGCCAAGCAATCCTCCTTCCTCAGCCTCCCAAAGTGCTGGAATTATTTCAGAGGCTTCTTATCTTTGTCTTATACATAATGTCTAGGGTTTTAGTTGTAGTTAGTGGGAGCATAGAAAAAAGTACATCTACTGCACCTTCCTGGAAGTAGTGTCAAGATATAACTTAAAAATCTGAGTTGGCTTCATGTTTTTGGAGTTGTGCAGAGATCTGTTTGCCGCTGGTATGCTAAATCCCCCACAAAAACAGTGTCTGCGCATGATAGGAGTTTAATAATACTCAGTGATCCCCACTTCAATATTACGCAGCCATAAAGAAGGACAAAATTATGAACTTCGCAATAACTTGGATGGACTTAGAGTCTACAACACTGAGTGATCTATCACAGAAACAAAGAACTGAGTATCATGTGTTCTAACTCATAAGTGGACCTTGAACAATTATTGTAATACTATAAGAAAAGGATTGGCAGTAGTGGGAATCTGCTGGGAGAGGGGGGCACACCTCATCAACAATGAAATCTACATGATGAACATTTGTATACCTAACCCTGAATTGTACCCCATATCTTTAAAATAAAAAAAAAATTTAAAGTCCCCACTTTACAGATGAAGACACTTAGGGAATTAAATAATTTTCATTAAGTCACACAGCTAGGAATAGGAAGAACTGGGATTTGAATGTGGCAGTTTGATTCCAAAGCTCGAGCTCTCAGAAGCATCACTGAGGCACTCAGGAAATTCAAGGCCCCTTTTGTTCTCTTAGGACAAAGGATGAGTGAGAGGCAGCCTCCACTTGAGACAGTGACAGTGTGACAACATGACACTTTTCTACTGAATTAGGAATGAATGCCCCCCGCATTCTGCAAGCAAATGCCCAATGCTGTCATCTCTCTTTCCATTCACTGCCTAACTTCTGCCCAGGGTCTTAATTACTCCATAATTTCTGTGCAAATGAGGTTCCACTCCAAGTTCTCTTCTGCAGCTGCCTTTTTTTTTTTTTAGCCCCAAAGACCAAATTCACGGGTCTTCCCAATTCTTTTAGGTTTTTGGGATTTTCTGCAGTACACTAATATTGGCCCCACTTGCCAAACTTCTCCTTAATCTTGACTTTCCAGTGCCCCACTTTCTCAATCTGCCCTTCAACCTACTGTTTGCTTTGTCTTCTCTTACTCCTACCGTCCTCAAGTTTGAGATGCAATTTCTCAAAATTCTCTTTTCTTCCTTCCTTCCTTCCTTCCTTCCTTCCTTCCTTCCTTCCTTCCTTCCTTCCTTCCTTCCTTCTTTCTTTCTTTCCTCTTTTTTTTTCTTTCTCTCTCTCTCTATTTCTCTCTCTCGCTCTCTCCACCACCCTCCCTCCTTCCCCTTCTCTCTTTCTTCTTTATTTCTTTTTTTGAGTTGGCGCCTCACTCTGTTGCCCAGACTGGAGGGCAGTGGCATGCTCACGGCCACTGCAGCCTTGACATGCCGGGCTCAGTGATCGTTCTGCCTCAACCTTCCAAGTAGCTAGAACTACTGGTGTGCACCACCATACACTGCTGATTTTTTTTTTGTGTGTGTGTGAGTTGGACTCTCACTCTTGTCACCCAGGCTGGAGTGCAGTGGCACACTCACGGCCACTACAGCCTCTACCTGATGAGCTCAGGCGATCCTTCCCCCACAGCCTTTCAAGTAGCTGGAAACACCAGGCACGCCACCACGCCCGGCTAGTTTTTGTGGCTTATTGTAGAGATGAAGTCTTACCAAGTTGCCCAGGCTGGTCTCAAAACCCCAGGCTCAGGCAATCCTCTCGCCTCGGCCTCCCAAAGTGCTGAGCCACCATACCTAGCCTGATTTTTTTATTTATTGTAGACATGAGGTCTCACCAAGTTGTCCAGGTTGGTCTCGAGCCCCTGGGCTCAGGCAATCCTCTCGAGCCCCTGGGCTCAGGCACGAACCAGTGCATCTGGCTGGTTCCGCCCCTTTCTCTCTTTGTTGTCCATGATCTCATTCGCAAAGAGCTTATCTTTTTTTTTTTTTGAGTTGGAGTCTCACTCTGTCACCCAAACTGGGGTGCAGTGGCACGCTCCCGGCCATTACAGCCTCGGCCTGCTGGGCTCTGGCGATCCTTCCGCCTCAGCCTTCCAAGTAGCCGGAA